TATTGTTCGCCTTCGACTTCGTGACAAGATTTATTAGCCCCAGCACTTTTCTACTAAAAATGATATCGATAACGGCACATTGTATTTCTTTTCATGATAATGCATCAATATCTTCATTTCGTTCCATTGATAACCTGCTATGTAATCCCGCGTGTGAGAATTGTTTTATTTGACAGAATTGCATTACACAAGCAGTGCAGCTTGCTGCGTGAATGACTTAGAAATTGTGTTTTTCCGACACAAACTGTTTTTGGATTGATGTGAGACTAGCTTGGTATATTGATACTGACGATGTGGATATGAGTGTGCGTGTGCGTCGGATATGAGGGTGTGGGTGTGGTTGTCGTTGTGAATCTGAGTGTTGCTGTAAGGATATGGTGTGTGTCGGTGGACATGCTCTTAATATCTACATCCACATCGATATTTGTATTGCAATTAAAATAAAAACAACGTGTCCTTTTTGATATCATTCATAGTAGGAAACTTCCAAAGGCGAATAAAAACTTATAGAAGAAATAATCTGTCTGCTGCTAAAATTTTGAAAAAATATTGGTGACTAGTCTTCAGTAAAATCTTGGTATCTTTATAATGCAAACTTTTATCTATCTCGGATGTGTCTAGAACTATACCGGAAAACCAGGCTATCCGCCTACTGTATTAATTATAGTCGAGAAACCACTTTTTTTTTTGAAGTCGATTAGGCTCCCCTTTAGAACTCATGATGTGCCAAGCAACAAAAAAAGCACTAGAACTTTTGATGAACTTTATGAAAAGATAAGGTAGTCTCAACTTTTGATAGTTCTACAACTAGAGGTTCTTTCTCTCATTTTGTTTTTGAGTTAGTCAAAAACTGCCCAGAATCATGTAACTCAGTAACGGATTGTACTGGCAAGCTTTTACCAAAGAGGATGGAAGCACAAGCGAAAGAAAGCGTGCTTATTCAAGCACTCACCTTTCTGGAGCACTGTAGACGGCAAATTGAATTTAATGATTGAAAATCTATGAATGACTATAACAGAGTGGCGAATTCAAATTGTTTTTATTAATATAGCTTGCGCTCTAAATCCTTACGTCAATACTGAGTGATAAATAACATAAGACCCCCCTTTTCTGTTTTTCGAGGAATCGAATGTCAGCTAAATCCTTCTTTCAAGCTCTACACTCTTTTCACTCATGATGCTTTTCTCAAACGACGGGGTGTGGGTGTCAATGAGTGTGGGGTGTGGATGTGGGTGTGGGTGTGGGTGTGGGTGTGGGTGGGTGTGGGGTGTGAGTGTGGGTTTGTGGCTGTAAGTGTCATCTGTCTGCTTCCAGACCCACACCCCACACCCACACCCACACCCACACCCACAAACCCACACCCACACCCACAAATCCACACCCACACCCACACCTACATCCCACGCCCACATCCACACCCAACCCACACCCACATCCACACCCAACCCACACCCACATCCACACCCCACACTCATTGACACCCAGACCCCGTCGTTTGAGAAAAGCATCATGAATGAAAAGAGTGTAGAGCTTGAAAGAAGGATTTAGCTGACATTCGATTCCTCGAAAAACAGAAAAGGGGGGCCTTATGTTATTTATCACTCAGTGTTGTCGTAAGGATTTAGAGTGCAAACTATATTAATAAAAACAATTTGAATTCGCCACTCTGTTATAGTCATTCATAGATTTTCAATCATTAAATTGAATTTGCCGTCTACAGTGCTTCAGAAAGATGAGTGCTTAAATAAGCACCATTACATTCGGTTGTGCTTCCACCCTCTTTGGCAAAAGCTTGCCAATACAATCCGTTACAGAGTTACATGGTTCTGCGCAGATTTTGGGTGTGGGTGTGGGGTGTGGCTGTGGTTGTGACTGTGACTGTGGCTGTGGATGTGGGTGTGGGTGTCGGTGTCGGTGTGGGGTGTGGTGTAGGTGTAGATGGGACAAAAGAAAGATGCACACCCACACACCCACACCAACATATCCACATCCACACCCCACACCCACACCCACACCCACAACCACACCTACACCCACACGCACATCCACACCCACACCCACAACCGCACCTACACCCACACCCGACACCTTAAAGCAAGTTTAAACGAATTGAAAAGAAACGTGTGGAAAAAAATCAATGCATTAAAAAGGAGTCATAGGTTTTTTTTCCAAAATTATACGTTGAAGCACATTCTTTTGTATCACCCTTTTTCATGGGAAATTCTGGCAGTTGATTCAATAAATAAATACATTTGGTAACAATAAAACTATCAGACTTTATCCTGCCGATGAAAAGCAAAAATATAATCATAATAAACCAGAGTGTAGAATAATTGATATTAGAAATAGAAGTGAAATATCGATAATGTTGAAAGTCGTGTATCTATATTGACTTGTCACTTGTAGAATTATTTTAGTTCTTTTTAGATAATAAGAAGCATAGATAAATATATTACAATCAGATTTCAAGTGATGATATTGAGATTAGTTTTCTTGGCATTTCTCCTTTCGAATTCGGATGCAAAACGTATAAGAATAAGTAGGTAATCGAGAATAAGTATGAAAATATTTGTATAGTAAAAAAACAGTTTATTAATTAAAACGATAGGTTCTTATGGTTGGGTGGGGTGTGGGTGTGGGTGTGGGTGTTGATGTGGCGGAGATGAATAATTACACCCACACCCACATCCACACCCACACCCCACCCACACCCCACCCACACCCACACCCGCACCCGCATCCCACCCACACCCACACCCACAATTTCTTTGTTTAATTTTTGACTTTCAAGCACCATTTTTTTCGCTTCTTAAATATTATAGATCGATAGAAAATGAAAAACTACCTATAAGGAAAAAAATTGGCATTGCTTCCAGTCTTTTCCATGAAGTAACAGGAGGTCAAACATCACATATAGCATGAAATAGTGGAAAAATAAATTTTTTAAAACTTTTGATTTTCATGCATCACTTTTTTCGCTTTCTAAATATTACAGATCGATAGAAAATCAAAAATTACATGTAAGAAAAAAAAAGTGGCATTGCTTATAATATTTTTCATGAACAGATAGAGGTCCAAAAATTACATTTAGCTTGAAAATAACGCTAAACTGAGGTTTTTGGAACTTCTGAGTATGAAGAACCATTTTTTTTCACCGTTTAAATATTACAGATCGATAGAGCATGAAAAAATACATGTAAAAGAAGAATTTGGCATTGCTTTTAGCATTTTTCGTGAAGAGATAGAGGTCCAAAGTTTACATATAGCTTGAAAATAGCGAAAAACTGAGGGTTTTGGAACTTCTGAACACGAAGAACCATTTTTTTCGCTTTTTAAATATTACGAATCAATAGAGCATGAAAAACTACATGTAAGAAAAAAAATTTGGCATTGCTTCTAGCTTTTTCCATGAAGTAGCAGCGGGCCAAACATGACATATAGCATGAAATATGCGAATTTGGGCCCCTTGATCTCAAAATATCGGATAAAATCATTATGAAAATGTAATTTTCTGTTCATTTTCAGACAGAACATATGGTTTTACATATATAGTGTACATTTCTCATAAGTCCGAGGGTTCTAGAAGTCCAACAGGAGGCTAAAAGCGAACATTTTAGCTATCAAGGCCATCTTGAAATGTGAAGCGTTTTCAGCTAAGAAAACATCTAGAGACCTTTTAATGTTAATATATGTAATCAGCATACTTAACCCTATGAATCAGATTACATTTTATTTGAAATAAGAGAAAAAAAATTTTCGACATTCCTGTGGGGGACCACAGGCCGAAAAAGTTTTTTTCGAGCAATTTGAAAAAAACCTATGATACATGATCAGGACCTACACCTTACTTCAATTCAATGAAAAAAACTCGATTTCGTTGGGGGCAGAAAAATGGCCTTATCGGCCCTGGTCCTTTTGATGACTAAATTTGTGAGATCGAATCATTAAATTCGATGACCATCTCGAAATTCACTGAAACTTTCAGAGCTTATACAGTTTGTTGTGCTGAACATTTTGCTATAAAATTATTCAGTATTCGATTCGATTTTGATGAACATATAGGTGACATAATATAAATAGATATTTTGTTTTTATGACTATTACGCATAAAAAAAACCAATCTTTCTTGAAAAAAGGGGATAGAACTATAGTATTTGCATAGATTAAAAATCTGTTAATATATTCGAATTCAGCATGTAAAACTACACCAGAATCTATAGGAAATATATGAACTGTTCAATACCCATGTTATGTCTGTATGATCGTATGGGATATATAAAGCAAGGAAAGTGGATGCAAAAAAAATCCAGAATTCCATTAAAAAATCGAACGATGTAAAATAATGAAATAATCAGTTCGACAGAGGAGAATTTGCTCTACAACGTGCATTAATTAGTTTTCTCCCCACTTTTAATTCTGGAGGAAACAAGTGTTGAAAACATTTATATACAAATGTTTATTAGCTATAGGTTGATGTATGTTTAGCTTCTTTCGCTACAAATTCTGTGAGAAAAAAAGTTACCAAATGGAAAAAAACGTTTCTCAAAACTCCGCTCAAAACCATCACATTCAAAGGGACAAAGATTAATCAATGAGGAATTGGTTGAAGTTATCAACAAGCATAACAAAGCAATTTTAAATGAATCTTCCAAACAAAATTCAAAGGGTGTGTGAGTGTGGGTGTGAGGTGTGGATGTTTGTTTTGTGTTCACCAACAATCCCGCCCACACCCACACTCACACCTTATTTCATTCAACTTCATGATTATCTCAAAAGAAAAGCCTTTTCTTGATAACTCACCATTCATCTGATGCATGAGCTTCTTCAATATAAACAGTGATCATATCAACATGATGTTGATAATTTTCTATTAGTTGATTAAGTTATGGTACAAAACTACGAAATGGTGTTCAAGTATATGAACCAGCTATGATTAATAATGGTTAATTAGGATGAAAATAAGATAATAATGAAACAAATTCTCCATTGATATTTAATAATTAAATATCGACTGCTAGATCTTCTATCTTAAGATTTCCTTGTTTTGCACGATTATATCGAACATAAAATGATAAATTATGAAATTCATTATTATTTGAATATAATTGATGAGCACTACGAAATATCCTAGAATATAAATTAAATATTCAAATTTAAAATCAGATCAGATATGAAATTCGTTTAATTACTAATATTTAATCAAAAATGATATAACATTTCAGAAGACAGAAACAAGTTACCGACTGATTTCAATTTGCAACAGTCCTATTAGATAGACTAAAGGAAGTCAAAAGTTGGATCTGAACATTCATTCGGATCCCGAAGTCCTCTCATTCATTGTCTTAAAAAGTCGTATTTCTATGAATACTTGATAGACTCCATATTACTTAGTAGTATAGATTTTCTTGAATATGTAATAATCATCAGGACGATATATTGCTTATCAGTATTCATTTTCATTGAAAAGTATTAATTAGTAGTACGCATTTTGATAAAACTATATTTTCTGGAGGGTTCCATTTAATAAGGTGGCCTTGGAAAAGTTGGCAGCATTCATGAAGAAGCATTGATTAGTTAAAAGTGAATCATAGGATCATCACTTGGTAATTCTGTTTAGCACTCCGCTTTCTATGTTGACACTTATCGCACACGAGTGATAATTATTTCGACTATTCGCACGATCTCTCATATGATAAAAGCAGACTGCTCAGTATTATGTCATCCTAATGAGTACTAAGCTAAGTAACTAAACAGAAAATTTTACGGAGAACGTCTGCTCTAAAGCTTAATCAAATATACCAGCCTGTTATATGAACAGAAGTTTTTAGAGAAGTTAACCGTTATCGTTTACTTACTTTAAGAGCATACTATACATATTAAAGTGTCTCTAGCATGATAGTTTTAGGAAATAAGTTTATTTAATTTGTGAAATAGAATATTTATCTTAAACTACATTGAATTTCATCATCTGTTGCATCTTCAACAATTACTCTTTTAACTAGCTCAGTTTGTAAATCAGCTATAATATCCATTCAATCAGCATCTTTTCGATCTTCCATACTTGATAATAATTGTTGAGTTTCTTCACTAAGTCTTATATTTTCTTCTTGAATAAGTAAATCTTTAAGTACATCATATTCGAATAATTGAAATACTCGTAATTGTTTTTCGACAGTTGATTGTCATTACTCATTTGAGATATCATCTTCTTCACCATTATTTTCATCTTCAGTACTAGCAGGAGTCGATAATATAATGTTTTTTAAATTTGGAACCTCATTGGATATCCGAAAATCTTTAATTTCATGGAATAATTTTGAAAGTAGAACTTGTGCTTGTAGAACATAAGTTTGTAGTTCATTTGGTAATAAACTTTCAGGATTATTCACATGTTTGAATTCGAATGTAAGAAGATTTTGTATTGCTTGGACTACTGTAGGTGGCAAAAGACGGAAATCTTGTCGTCCCCTGGTAAAATGACATATTCCATTCCAACAACTTACCATCAAGAAGATCGTACATTCATTCTGTATTTTATACTCTCGAAGAGTTATGTTGTCTTCTAGTAATTTACCAGCAAACATTAAATGTTGTGGAAGAATACCTTCTTTGTCTTGTATCAATTGTTTCACAGTAGATATAACCATGCAAGGCTTGACTTTTAATGTAATCGTCTTTCCAGTAAGAGTTTTTATAAAAATGTCGAAATTAGAAATGAATTCTACAGAATCAGTCTATGAAAAACGAAACCATGTGATGTGAGAAAAAAAAAATTTTTTAATTTACTTTTTCTTGCAAAATTTTTGCTATGATGATACAATTATCTTGATATAACTTACATGATAAGACAGTATCATTTGATTTGAGTGTTTTACCTTCATTCCAATTTTGTTTATTCGTTCGAGAATCTTGATCTAATATAAATGATTTTAGTTCAATGTTTGGTAATTTTCGAAGATCCTGTATTTGCATTTTAATTTTTTCAATGGTCTCTGTTAAGAGAACTGGTAGTACCAATTGTTGAGATGGCACATCTTCACAATATTCTATCAAAATATTTATTTCACCGTGTGTGATAAATTGATAACCATCTGGATATTGGAATACAGATGATTTCAGTTCATCGTCATTTAATGGTAAGATACCATTTTGATTCATTTTTCCAATTTTAATCCATTGTTGTAAATATTTTGGCACATTATTCTTGCTGTATTTCTTCAACAATGTACTAATCAAATCATGATCCATATATTGATTAGTTATTGAATATCCATATGGATCAACAAATGTTATTGAACGTGATTTCAATTCTTTTCGTATATTCTTTTCATTTTTACATCGATCATCAAGATATTTTATGATTTCGAACATTTCATGTTGAATTGCATGAATATGAAAGACTAAATCTTCATAAACAAATGTAAATGGACCCATCGATACAACTGCATTTGATGCTGCTATTGAATTCTTTTCATCAGTTACAGAATCAGCCATCTGTCGATAAATGTCTAAAACTAGAGAGGTAGTGATAAACTAAACGAAATCCAATGGTAACTCATACTGATAGTTAAGTTCCTTAAAAATGAACTGTCGTGGTTACAAAGATATTGTGAAAAGCAATACTTACAATATAGACACAAAGTTGGGATCAATTCGAATTATCGAACTTTTACGACAAGTTGTAGTTGCTAACCATCATGGAAATCTTCATAGGATTGATATAAATCTAAAATGTAACTAACTCTTAGTGATCACAAAGCAGTTCAGATAAGCTTTAATCAACTGGAAAATTATGGGAAAATGAATTAAAGTCAGCAAAAGTAATGCTTAATTGTTTAGTTGTTTATCTTATTAATATTTTTTGTACAGTGGAAGTACGTACTTACAATAGCGCACGCAATAACATCGTTATTACGCATACAAAATTAAGTGAAAACGAATAAACGTGTGACAAACTTTTATACTGTGTCCATGGATGATTGATGCGGTAAAAAAATACCATATTTGGTTTTTTCCTACATATAGGAAAAAGGTGCATCGCAACTTTTTATGTGTATCTTCTTAAAATAGAAAGAACGAAAAAGGTTTTAGAATATCATGTTTTCAGCTTTTCATGAATTATGTTTAACTGTTTTTGGTGAGTATTTTTCACATTGAGTGGAACACTTACTTCACAATGAATAGTGATATTTTATTTATTTTTTTGTGTTTACTGTTACATATCTTTCTCTTTCGAGTTTATCCATCCAATCCATCACATAAACAATCTATTAAATTTTTAAGTAAAACTGTATGTCTGGGGAAAAAAGCTAATAGTATGACATAATCATTTTAAATTAAAGGGTAAAACTTTTATTAATTATTGATAGAGATATGTTGCAATCTCATTTAAAAAAAAATCAAGTAATTTATAATATATTTATGAAACCGATCAAAATTAAGATATACAAAGAAAATTCAAAACCTTTATAGAATATATATTTGATCTATGGAAGATACAGCGGTTGATGAAATTGCACAATCTATCCTGTAATTGTATCGAAGTTATCTGTTGTTAATTTTTCATTTGAAAAAATATTTAGAAAAATCAGAATTATATTTTGTCAATGTTTTAGATCGATTCACATGGCGCTAAATTCTGTAGCTAATGAAACAAATCTTTATGATACAATGACTTGGTTTAAACAATACTTACACATTGTATTAATAGGAAAGCAATGGATTCATGTCTAAGTGAAATTCTTATTAAATCTAGACTGAAATTGAGTCAAACAGGCATTAACTGGTCAGCTTTAGTAACACTTACCGATCTTCAGTTTTACTTTGGTATCTCGCTCCAAAATGAATACTAAGATGCATAATAAAACCCTACCAAATCTCGAATAATATGATATACAGTGAAACCTCTCTAATGTGAACACTGTCGGTACCTTCAGAAATCGTTCAGATTAACGAGGTGATCATATAGGAGAGGTTTTGTAAAAATATAGAAATTTTTCGAAGTAAATGATATCTATACGTTCATTTTTAATGGACTGTTATAGTTTATTAATATAATTTTTTTTAACCATTTATAATATTAAAAAAATTCATTTCATAAGATTTTTATGAACTTCAACAGGTGAATATTTGAAATATGTTCGACACTGCACCAATTAAAACTTCAAATTTTTACTGAGTTGTCTATGCGAGGAACCTTGTTCTTTTTCCTTTATTAAGTTCAGTTTCTGTTCAAGTGAAAGTTCATGACGACTAGTCATAGTCAGCGTTTCTAATGGCAGGTGTACCCAGCAGAAGTAAAATGTACGGGACACCTACTATTACAAAAATACACGCTGCGGTACACTTGCTTAAAAAATTAGAGTGTACAAGGTACACTTTACCAAGTGAATATACACTTTGTTTTTTTAAATATTGAGAAGTATTTTTATTCTTACACATTTACTCTGAAATCATCGATAATAGTGGCATCTTTTAGTCTCTCTGTGATTTGCGCAATATGATTGCCTTTTTTTCTCTTCCTTTCATTCATATCTGATTTCTTTGATCTCTGAACCTCGAAAGCCGCATATAGTTTTAAATTAATTAAAGATTATGTTTATTTGTTCGCTAGAGATCAACAAGTTTGTCTCATGAAAGAAAAAATGACGAACATTATATTTTGGTTTTTTAGATTGTGAAAATTTGACTCTGGTACACTTTGATACACTTTGCTGAAAAAAACAAAGTGTAATGTACACTTTGCTCATAAAAAACAGAGTGTATTGTACATTTTGTTTTACATTTCCATTATAAACTATGACTCATAGTTTATAATAAATAATGATTGAAAAACAAAAAAAAACATTCATTCATTGTTCTAATCACATATGATATTGATGGTGTCCATTGTCCCTTTCTCTTTTTCTAGCCAATCATAAAATTAACCAATTGGATGCATAGTGTTAACTCAATACTAGGTGGCGCTAGCTGTCAACGTTCATATTATAGAGGGTTTATTTACATGGTGGGGACTGAAATAAAGTGTTCACATTCAGAATGTCGAGGTGTTCATAAAGGAGAGGGTCAAAACAAGCAAAATTCAGTCGGTCGGTCCGGAGAGTGTTCATTATAACAGGTTGTTCACTTACGAGAGGTGTTCACTAATAGAGGTTTCACTGTATATGTTTCGATAGTTTTTGAATGCTCTAAATAAAGTTTCGGTTAATGTCAAAACTCATTTCAGTATCATCGGTTTGTTTCAACATCTTGAAAAGTATCATGTATTGATTTATTTTTGTCTTATCTATTGTTGTTATATGTATATTAATTTATTTTCAACATTAATCGAACTCTAGTTTGTTTGAGTAAAGTCTGACCCAGAAAAAAAACATCTTTAACCTTATGTTTATTTGATTAGTATTTTGTTATCAGTGTTGATTTATCTTTGACCTGACCTCATAAATAATATTTAAAGTATAAATATATACTAAGTTGTTAAGTTTTATTGAATTAGGTTTTAAGAAAAATTCTTTTGTTTTCATATATCTACGACGAACAAACATATTAAAAGTTAAATAGAATTAGAGTTATTTTATTTATTTTTCAATATATAAAAACAAAACAAATAACAAGATTATTATTTTTCTTTTTGTTTTTGTTGTTGAATTTTATCAAGTAATAATTCAATTTGTCCTTGCATAACTGGTTGACCACGACGTGTTTTTTTTACTAATTTTTTTAAACGTGATTGTTTATTTGCTTTATATCGAACCATAGCAACATTGACTGCTTGTTGATGAGCTTCTTTAGCCTTTAAAAAATAAATCAAAACTATTAACACAATCTCTAGAAGTTTTAAAATGTAAAACATGATTTAGCTGCCAGCAGTTCACAAAAAATTCAATTTATCTCGTTTTATTTTTATGCTTTTCAAGTAGAGCGTTGCACAGACTTTTTTATCCATATACATCAACATTCTCTTTAAATGGTATTGCACAAAAAAAAAAACCAAAATGTATTACTTGTTTAGCTTCTTCTTTTTCTTGTTTTCGTAAAACATGAGCATCATGAATTTTTTGATTATGTGATTTTCTTATTTTATTCTGATGAAATGGTTTCGTATTATTTTTCTTCATTTTTCTAGAATAAAAAAGAAAAACACTGATTCTAATAGTTCATTAATTTATCTCCGGTTGTAATTTTACTAAATTAAATTTTTTTTTTAATCTATTCACACAAAAGCAAAAAGAACAAAACAACATAATGATTTTAAAAATCAGTTCATTTTGATCGAGTCCATATTGTTCTAGTTGATGATGAAGCAACTAATAATTTATTTGTACTAAATAGTGAAACACCAACTCCAATAATGGACATGAGAACTGCTGCAGTAAATGATAAACGTTGTCTATTAATCGTGGAATTTGTTGAATCATATTTCTAAAGAAGAAATAATAAAAATCAAATTGATTTGAAAGAAAAAACTTACGGTAAATAATCGTGATCCACTCTTTGCAATTATCCCAAATACCATCTTTACTTGATAAATTTTCTTAATAATTCTACAAGAATGATTATACTTTCCAAAAAAAAACAAACAAAATATAAAATGATATTGATTGGTCTTTTTATTTAATCAATCGTTTATATTTTGTGATTGATGAATTTCAAATTTGATTCTTTTTATTTTTTATTATTTTATCATAGAATTAATTTTTATTTAATTATTTAAATGAATTTTTCTTTTCATGAAACATAAATTCATTTAATTGGTCCACATAAATGATCCATATTTTATTCAATATATGAAAGATAAGAGATAATTCGGTAGAGAAATTTCTAGTTTTAATCAAATATGGATGACGAATTTCCTACCGACTTTTCTTCTCAAACAAGAACATATATTTCTGTATTAAATCCTGAAGCTACTTCATTTGAACCATCATCTTATTCTCAACATATACAAGAAGTTTCAAGACCAAAATCTTTTTCAGAAGATAATAATCATCATTTACATATTCAATCAACTACAAATGATCAATATGATAATGAAAATTATTATTCAACAACTATTCATTCAATAGAACCATCAGAACATATTTCTTCACAAACACATTTCATTCAAGAAACAATAACAAATAATCAACATCCAACAAGTTCATATCATATTGAACCAGTAAATATTTCTTCTAATGATCATTTGAAACAATCGACACTCCAAACAAAAGAAGAACATGATGATGATCATCAGAAAATTGAACAAAATATAGATGAAATATCTTTTCAACAATCAACTAATATTAATAATGAAACTAATTTTGATACACAAACAAATCTTAATGAGATATCAAATGAACTCAAGTGAGTTACATTTAGTAGTAACTATTTTATTTAAGAATAATTCTAACGTTGTGATCATCAAAGAATCTTCTTTAAAATCAATCTATTAATAAGAAAATAAAAAAAGATTTTTTAATATGTTGAAGTTAAATACTTCAAAAAAAATTTTACATTTTATCTAAATGAGTTATTCGACAGGTATCATCAAGATACAGCTTTCAAACCTTCGTACCATTACCTATGAAAAACTTCTGTGTCAGATGACGTTCTGTTCAGAGCTGCTGTTAACCATAATTATAGAAAAGATACATCCTATATCAATAAGGCAGAAATATTATCAATTTTAATATTATTATTTCAGAACACAACGTAAACTTGATGAAAATGAAATTCCTATTGATCAATCTTCAACCGATATCGAAAATAAAACTACTTTAAACGAATTAAAATCAAATACAATTGATACTCGTCCATTAACAGAACTTGAAACATCCTATGAACAAAAACCAACCAAAGAATCTTTAAATTCATTATCTGATGTTGTTTCGGAAAAAAATTCTGATGCTACAGCTTCTCAAACTGAACTTGATGATATTCTTGGTAATAAATCTTTACTTAAACAAGTAAAATTAAAATCAAACAGATTTTTCTTTACAGAAAAAAAAAACTCTAATAAATTGATTTATATTTTTGTCTAGATAATTACTCCAGGTACACCTGATACACGTCCAATACGTAATGCATTAGCAACAGTTTCTTATAAATTATTTTTAATTGATGATTCAACATCAAATTCACGTCTTATTGAAACAATAACGAATGAATGTTTTTTTGTTAATGAATGTGATATTTTACCAGCTATTGATCTGTCTATTCAATTAATGGATCGTGGTGAACATGCATTAATTTATTCTGATGTTCGACATTGTTATGGAGATATTGGTTGTGAAGAAAAACAAATTCCACCAATATCATCAAATAATTCATATCAAATGAAAATTGATCTAGAATTTCATGATTGGAAACATGCACCTGATATTCAAACATTATCAATTGATGAAAGACTTTTTTGGAGGTTTAGTTCATTTTATTTTATTTTTAAACGAGAGAGAGAGACACATAAGAAGATAAATTAGTCCAAAAGTACTTTTCTTCATCAAATCATAAATCAACCAAAAAAGTATATTGTAATTCACATTTTCGTATTAATAGTGTCATAAAGATTAACATACTATTTATTAGGCTCGATTTTATCTCTTGTTGATCAATACTTGAAGAAAAAAATTCAATTTGAATCAAAACTAATATAATATTCGAAATCAGCATAAAAAAACTGACTTAGTATATGTGCAATTTAACAAATTTCTGTATTTGTTTTCCATCAGAAAAATTGACTCCTAGTACCTAGAGCCCGTCTGGTCAGTTCGGGAATCTAGTATAATCACCGAATACAAAAAAAAATGTATCTCGTAACTTCGACGTGGTTATCCTATTCCGATTAAAAAACTTCATTAATATTATCGAAGTACACTTCGACAGTGTCCGAAAGTTTTATCTCCGACAGGTTTTAATGGTACTCTCAGACGCCGTAAGCAGATTAAGTTGCATGAAGACATTATTATGAAACGTCGAAATTAGTGTAAAATTATAAGACGAAGAATCGCAAATATTTCGAAAATAAAAACATGGTTTTCAGAGAGTTCATTTCTCATATAGTCCACGAAGTAGACCAGAGATACATGTTTCGATGGAAACAAAAGTTACGAAATTTTTTTAAATTTCACATAGTTTTGTTATGCTGATTTAGACTAGTCTGTCGAATAGTGCGTTAGACAATTTCGTCAGTAGCAAAATTCTAAATTAAAGAACCAATTGGTGATTTCTATAAGAGATTGAAGTCCGAATAAAAAAACTTATCAAACTCGTAATTTCAGTGATAGTATATCTTGTCTATTTATTTTCAAATAAACTTCATAGGGATCAAAACCTCATGAAAACTAGTACAAAAATATTTGTTTCAACATGCTCTTTTCGTTAATATATGATTCCATGAGATTTTCTAAGAAAAATCGTACTGATCCGTTTGGATTCTTATGGGTCATTTTACTCTATTTAAAGGATTTTTTATTTTAGTGATAAAAAGCGACAACGAGGAAATCTTTTATATCGTCGAAAAGAATATTCAACAGCTCTTCAATGTTATCGTAATGCATTAAAATTCTTAGATACAGATCAATATCCATTATTAGAAGATGATAAAGAATCATCCGTATTAATTGATCGATATATTCAAGTACAAAATAATCTTGCACAAGTTTATTTATTAAATAACCAATATGAACAATGTTTAGATGCTGTTAATCAAGTTTTAAAACATGATTCAAAAAATATTAAAGCTTTATTTCGACAAGCAAAAGCTTTATTTGAATTAGGAAATTATGATCAAACAATTCCATCATTAAAATTCTTATTACAAAGTCAAAATAAAGATGTAGAAAAAGATAAAGTTAATGAAATGTTAAATATTTGTGAAACAAAATTAGCAAAATATAAAAAAAATGAAAAAGAAATTTACAAAAGAATGTTTTCATCAGCTACATCAACAAAAGTTGATCAAAATCTTCAAACAAAAACTATTCAAAAGGTTTATAATTTGAAAACAATAAATAAATTATTAAAAATTTTTATTTTATAGATTGAAAATAAAAATAATAATTCTTGGTGGACATATCTTGCAATGGGTAGTGCTGTTCTAGCTGCTGTTGGTCTTGCTGCAATAATTAAATATCGATAAATATTTTGATTAAATTTCATTTTTTATGTTTCCAAGTTGTTTTGTATTTTTCATTTTATTCTGGAGAACTTTTTTTTGCTTTCCAATATCAAACATTGGTGAACAAACATTCAACTATTAGCAATAATCAATTGAAATTCCTTTAAATATTCATCTTTTTAATTATAGACGTGTGCACAGCAGCTCACAATCAGTTTACATACAAATAATAGATCTTAAAAATAAAAAATAAAAAGAAATTTCCATGTTATTTTTGATCTTTTGTATTTTTGCAAGATTATATAGTATCTGAGCAAATTGCATGAAGTTTTGATAGTTTTCTTGCTAGAGAGAGCAAAGTTTTTATGGCGAAACTGTGTAAAAATATTTGGTTAAAAATGCCTACTGAAGATGGAAAAGTTTTAAGGATATGTTGGCTGGAATAGTGCGCTGCAATTTTACACAAAACCAATAATTAGAAATGCATATGATCGATTAAGAAACTTGATTTTTCCTCAACGACACACAAGGAAGTTTCTATCATAATGTCTATTATGCTGTTTTATATAATATGCTTCTGTAGAAGGCATGTTAAACTTTAATTGCAGGAAAAATCTTTTTAAAACTATTTAGTCTTTCGAAAGTATTTGGTAGGTAATGTTGTTTTCACAACTTTATAGTAGAAACTTCAGTCTTTCCTAACAAGAAAGGCTACTAAGTCTCCACGACAAGTTGAGCTCACACGCATCGGCAAAAAAAATTGATGAAGAATTTTTGCACCATTCATTAATAATACTTGGTTAAAGAGTGTAGACAAACAAACAGATCAAATAGTTAAATAAAGAATGCATCCACCATCTATGTCTAGTCCAAAATGATTAAACAACATCAATTCTTATATTCTAGTAACAAAGATACTCTACTGTATATTCTGATAGCAATACTAGCGAAGATTTTAATTAAAAATTAAAAAAAAAACAGCATAATAGATAGGCAAACAAAATCGAAGATCTATTTGTAATTTATATTGAAGGAAAAATGTTATCAAACTGATACTAGATTTTTGACTAAATGTTTAGAAAATAGGGAAATTTAATTTGCCTGTGATAGAGAAAAGTCGGTTAATCAGATCGGTTTCTTATTCTGCAACATAAGTATAGAAATCATCGACTAAATTGAAAAAGTGAACTTTTAGATATCCAAAAAACAACCGTCATAATGACAATACAGATGAATCGATTCTTTCCAAATAAGATAAAAATATTTCTAATAATAAGATTTACACAAAAAATATTTGTAACTTACAATTAATACAATCCTCTTTACTAACAAGAACTTGCGTTTTGTTTTGTTATTACTACATCAACCGATGAGAAATGATTTTGATTGCAAACTTAAATTTCCAATATGATTTTATTTCGATATTTTGTAAATAAATTTTTAATTATCCTTCCTCATACTTCTATTCTATTCATAAATAGAATTTTACAAAAGTTCCTTTGTTTTCTATTCGCAAAATCGGCATTAATTTGTAAACCGTACAGAGAAACTAAAGTAAAGGTTTGTTACTGTTGTTGTTTTGTTTTTCTGCTCTCTTCTCGTTATTAACATTGAGAATGCAGTGAATGAATATTTACGTTCTTACATATGAATGAACCAATACAATGATCGATATTAATATTTTTGTTTACAATCGGAGGAGTGGAATCATCATTGATAAGTACTCATAAAATGGAATAACCAGCTGTTTGGTCAATAATTTTTTTTATTCTTCTTCTTTAGTTTTCATAGTTTTATTTCATTATTTGCTTTACTTTTTTCACTTTTTGTAATTTGTACTGGTTTACCACTATTAAAACTTCATTCAACAAAAATTTCTTATTCAACAAAATTACAAACTTTAATTTGGATTGTTTCTTAGTATATCAATCATCTTATGTAATTTCATAGGAACATTAGCAGCAAGTGTTCTTCTTTTTCCTTCATTTATATCTCAAAATTCTTCAAGATTGAATCATTTAAATACACAACGATTTTTAATTATATTTTTTATTATTTTAATTGGTAATTCCGGTGGATTATTAAGTCCACTTGGTGATCCTCCATTATATATGGGTTATACTAATGGCGTAGAATTTTTATTTACATTTAAATATCTTTATAAAATATTTATTGTTGTAAATGGATATATATTATTTATATTTGCATTGATTGATTTTATAAATGTATGGTTTTATCAACGAAAACAAAAGAATAATAATGATCAATCATATGAATTAGTACCTTGTAAAGAAAAAATAAATGATCGTTATAATCTTTCATCATCATTACCTATTCAATGGAATGGAATTCATCATATTTTTTTTCTTTTATTAATTCTAATTGTTATTTTATTCAAAGGTTTTAATATTCCAATAAAATGGCCTGAATATATTCAAGAAATTATTTTATTTTTAATAACATTTGTATGTATTTGTTTTGATATTATTTGGAAAAAACAAACACCAAAAGAATGGTTGAAAAACAATTATTCAACACGTATTGAACCTGTTGCAGAAGTTATTATTATTTTTTTTGGATTATTATTTACAATGTCAGCACCAATTACCATTTTAGCAAATTTAAATCTTCAATTTGAACCAAAAGTAAGTCGAAATATGAAATAATTATAGTATAAATATATCTATTTTGTTCTTCTATGTAAACGTTCATTTGACTTCATGACATTAATTATCTCATGTTAATAAAAATAGGAAGAAACCTATACCTGAAGATAATATTCATGTTTATTATCTGGAGGAAAGAGTACATTTTAATCAACAATGTTTTTTTCAAGTAGTTATTTTTCATCATGTCTTCTTGGATTCTTTGACACGATCTGCACAATTCTTTATTCGAATTCAACACTTTGTTATTAGAGATTAAACAGATTCATGTATGATGTGTGTAATGAAGCTAATCTATGTATGGTCAAAGCAATTAGTCAATTGCGTTTGTGCATCTGCGTAAAAACTTTACATATTCATTTTAAAATATGGTTCGTTTCCAGGTTCATGAAAACCTATGCACTAATTCGTCTAACTGACAGAGAACATAAATATAAGCAAGATAGTTCCCATCTAGGAATCGGGATTAGGAGTAACATTTTTTTTTTATTGGAAATGATATCTTTTATGATTGTGTAAAACTTATATCAAATATCATATTCTTAAGAGTGATGTGTTTTGAAAGTTTATGCGAAACATTATTGAACCACGATCACTCCAATGGTTGCTATTAAAATTCTGATAGTTAAATGAATCCTTTTTTCATAAATAACAAAGTTATCGAACATATAGATGTGCAAAATACACGAAATATTAGTAGCAAATGTCTTCAATTCATTGATACTACTAGAAAATGATATTGCATTTTTCGTTGGTACATGTATTACTAAGCGCTAAACTAGCACTAAAAATTATTTTTGATTGAGATGAGGACCAAATCCGATTGATATCACTCATGATTAAGAATACACCAAAGAGTGTAAGTATTACAAATGTATTATTTTCTAGATTAATATTGTAAACATATATGTATACTTCAATCAGTTATCTCATAGGAAGTTTAAAGTACATAAATTCTATCAGAATAACGAAATTTTCTTTATTTTTCTAAGTTATCAATTAGACGAGTCGTAAAAATAAGAAGTTCAAGAGTGTTGTAGTATATTGAATATCTGAAGAAATTAAAACCTTGAATCATTATTGTAAATCAATGAAAAACAAAATATGTTTTTTTTAGCATTTATTTTTATTCTCCGGTATATTTGCTTCAGTTCTTGATAATGCTCCAGTTTATATTAGTTTTGCAGCAAGTGCTGCTGCACAATATAATATAACTGTTGATCAATCTAACAACAATGGTTTTCTTGCTGTATTCTTTTCTTATTATGAAACTGATGCAATTAAAACCATTCGTGCAATATCAGCTGGATCTGTTTTAATGGGTGGATGTACTTTAATTGGTAATTCACCTAATATGATTATAGCATTGATGGCTACTCGTTATACTTATCGTATACGAACGAAAATGTATCAATCAAAAAATAAAGAGAGTACTGAAGATGATTTAATTACATATCATCTTGAGAATATTAGTTTTATTCGATCACTTGTTACAGCTTGTCTCATACTAATTCCTATTTTTGTTGTTGTAGCTTTTTTTATGTTGTAAATATTACTTCTCTCTTAAATAAACATGTTTATAATCATAACAAGAAGCTTTTTAGTAATTTTTATGTTGATTATAGTAATCAAGCAAATAGACTTATTTTTAAAATCTTAGATTTACTGTAAATAAATACTTTATTTAGGAATAGTCACGATGACTATGCAAAATATCTTATTAGTAATGATAAACAAAACGGTGAAAAATAAATGTATATCGAATACGATGACAATAATGAAGATTTTGTTGTAATTGTTATTCGGACTACGTAGTTTACTATATTTATATCGAGTTTATCATGTAAAAAAGCTAAACTACTAGTAGAATAAATTGTTTTTTTTCTCTCTGATGGATTGTTAGAAGACTAAAAAGGAGACTGAATCAAATTAGCTAGTGATCAAGTCGATTATTGAAGATAAGGACTAAAGTCTGGGATCTGACTATCATACTTCTTCTTGAATATTGTAGAGTTTATCTACATTCTATTTCTAATTATCTGAAAATTAAATTGCAATAGGTTTGTCATAAAAAGGAAATACAATTATTCATCTTTTATTCAGAGTAACATTTGAAAAGTTTTCATCATATTAAAAATCATTTTTCTTTCTTTCTAAAAAAAACTTGTGTCTAAACGCTGTTCAACTTAGACAATGTTCATTTGATGAGTAATAGAAAACTCTAGAATGATTTGCTTTTCCAGGCCTTTCTTCTGAAGATATTGGAGGTTTACTGAATATTTTCAAAAATAAACTGTGATCTATGTCAAGTCACATGAAAAACCGACTTTTGAGTATCGACTTCAAATTTTGTTCATGCAAAGTTCTTAATAAGATTAGTTCATTGAACAATTTGTAACTTTTCTCATATCTCCGATCTTGACATATTCAATATTCGAAAGTCTCTCATATATAAAAGCAAAGTTTGTTTATATATTTACATTTCCACAAAAGAAACATTAAACATATGACCTGAGAGAAACCACAGTTTTCTGTTTAAAAAACCTAACTTGAGAACGAAAGTACAAAAAAATCAAACCATTCTAAATCTTTCTATTACTCATCAAATGAATTTTGTCTCAATTAAAATGTGATTAGATACCTACAGAAGTGTCTTAATATTTATTTAACGATACGTTCTTTTTTTTTTCTGTAAGCCTTCTTGAAATAAATTGCTGCGTCAATGATGATGACTTGTAAACATTTAAATCATTACATGAACTTTTTTTTTGTTGTTATTTTTAATTCGTTTATTTACATGCAATGCAGAAGTTTAGTCGAATATTTCAAGTCATAGAGATTTAATCGAGAAAATAATTTGAAAGTCATTCTTTTATCGTTGTCAAATAGTCAAAAACGAGTAACTTATTCACTTTTTTTTTAAATAAAAAGATATATTCTAGTAAAAAATCAAGAACAAATTTAACTTTCAATGCATCATTAAAAAGAGCGATCTTTCTGCTTCATAAATCAACAATAAATGCATTTTCTCATTTCCCTTTCCGTTTAAACAAGATCAACAGAAAGTAAAAAATAATGTTGCTCAATAATGAAGTTGAAAAGAACGTTCATGCAGATGTTTTATTTTGAACTTTTTCAACTTGACAGGTTCACTCTGTAAAAAATGTGTTTCGTACGAAATTTGTATGTCAGACATTGTTCTTTCTGAGAGAACAAAAAGCTTTATTGATTTAGAAGTCGACAATATGATATAATATAATTGGATATTTTTTTTCAAAAACTTTCATATTGTATATTATTTTTGACCATTAAATTAAGAAAGATCGAGGTCTGCTCTTTCATAAACGACAGGATTTTTTATTTAACACTTTATTTTTTTCTAAAAATGTTGATAATTTTTGTTATCGTCTATACTAGAACAAAATGTTTTTTCAAGAAGAAACGGAAATTTTTTTTCCGTTGTTTTTTAGTTTACGCTTATCTTATCATGAGTTCCAGGTATATGAAGGAAATTGCATTGTAACCAATTACTTTTTTTTTCTCTAATTTGAACTAACATATGAAGTTATGATAGCCGTTTTTTTTTCATTAAACTTTTTCTTATCATTATAGACAGAAAAGCACTTTTAATTCTAATTATTCATGAGGACTTTTCTTTTAAGTATTTCTCGATACATTGAACTTTCTGTCTTTTTTTTTTACTTTCATTAAAAATAAGAGTTTTAACGGATGCGGCGGGACAGTATGACATGTACTTCCAAATAAAAAAAAAATAATTAAATCTCTAGCATAAAACTCTCCGATAGTGATTTTCAGACTACCAAATGAGTTATCTCTTATTTAACTTATTTATTGAATATTTTTCAAAAATATAATAATATCAAGTGAAAAATTTTACTATGCCCTTAATATATATTCAGTAAATGTGACGTTATTTAAATGTGCATAGTACTAGCTCATTTTTAAAGCGTCTGAAACAATCATATTAATCATTTATTGCTGTGTCATTTAGTATTAATATTTCCTGAAATACATTTTCCATCGTGTTAATGGGCTAATTATGACATCTCATAGATCACTTTATTTTTTTTTTAATTCACCAGAATGATTCAATAATATGTAACATCAAAACAGAAAGAGGAATGACTAGGATTGAAAGACTTGTGTCAATCGACATAGATACAAAATAAATATTTTTCCTAATATATTTCAATATGGATTATCTGGCTATTAACTTTTCTTTGATAGACTTAAGAAATACAAACAACAGATTCTTCTTGGTACTTTCATATTCATAGAAAAAAAAATACGGTGATTTACTAAAGTTCATTTAAAATGTTGGGTGCCAAAATCTTGACTATTTTTTAAGTCTTAGTTTTTAAATAATCTGCCATAATAAGATATGTTATCTGTGTTAGTTGATTTTATTGGTTTATATGAAGCGATTCAAAAACAAAGATATTTAATAATTATTTGAATATTATTATCTGAAGGATTCTTTTAAATAAATATATAATAGTCTTCTTATTTATTTAATTTTAAAATGTTTTTTAAGGACATTTCTTTCTCTTATATAGAAATTTTGTAATTCACTCAATAAAATCCGAATATTTTATTCTATTTATCTTGATGACTACGCCCCTCAATTAATCATCGACTATTTTTTATTTTTTTATTCATAATAACCTTCTCTGATTAGTTTAATGTCCGTCATGCAAGAATAATTTTTGTCGTATTAATATGTAAAAATAGACGATAACAAGTAGAATCAATATTAAAACAAAGATAAATAAATTTCAATTATAGTTTTTAACTTTATTTAATTCAAAAAGAAAATATAAATATGTACAATTTGTTTTAAACAAAAATATTTTTTTTTTTTATTTCTCATTCAAGAATAAGACACAATTATATGGTAATAAATGTTTATAAATATATATATATATATTAACAGTTAATAATCAAATGTTATTTTATTTCTCTGGTGCAGCCTAATAAATAAAAAAATAATTAATTTAATAGTCAAAAAAATAATTTTTTTTTAATTAATTCTTACTGGATAAACAAATGATGTTAAAGATTGACATTGATTATGGCAACAAATTCGACATGTATATAATCCCATATGATCTTCAAAATTAGGATTTATTAATGCTAAATCAGTTTTTTCATCGAACGTATTCAAAGGTTCATCTTCTGGATCAAACCATTGTATATTACATTCATTTTTTCTTTTATTACTAAAACGACACATTAATGATGTTTGACTACGAGGTTCAAATAAAGATTGATATGTATGAACTATATAAAATTAGATTTATAAAAGAAATACTTTAAATATATAATAATAATTAATTTTACCAGTGATTAATGTATTATCAAAAGAATTTTTTTCGATTAAATCTGTATCTATAAAATCAATAAATAATTATTATATTAAAAAGAAAGGTCTTACTATTGGCAATAATATGAATATTAAAAATTTGTTGTGAATAAATTTCCTTATGCATTCCAATACATTTATATGGTCCATTCATATCAAAACGAGTTTTTTCGATTTCTATTGTTGATACAATTATAGAAGCAAGAAATGAATCTTCAACATTATCATCTTCTTCTTCTAAAATAGTCTAAATAAGAAAATAAATAATATTTTGAATTTTATTTAAAAATTTTAATGTTTACTTTGGAAATAAATGATTCAATTAATGTATTATTATGAAACCAGAATATATCAATTTTATCAAAATTAGATAAAAATGAACATGTTAAACGAAATTGTGAACCTTCATTAATATTGAATTCAATCGGTGAACTTAATTCCGATTGAAATATAATTGCTTTCTGTCGTCTTAATTTGTCCAATAATGATGATGATGAACAATCATTAATCATTATTATCAAAAAATACTAATAAAACGTAAATGATTCAAAGTATGAAATGAGAAAAGAAACTTACTAAGACATATTTAGTAATCATTATCATTTTTATTTTATTTGTCATTTTATATTTTTGAATTAAGAAAAAAAATCCTTTGAACAATTAATAATAATGAAGATCGAGTCAAGCAACCGACTTATTTCTTTCTTTTTTAATACTGTCAGCAAAAGTAATTCTCCAACTCGAACTATATGTCGAAACGATTTAGTCATTTCGACCTTAGCTATGTTCTTTTTCTTTTTTTTTTATCGTTCTTAAACTTAGGAACCAATTGCAAACGAGTGGAACAGTATTCTACTTAGAAAAACATTGAGTAAGAAAAAAAGAGTAAAGCACAAACACAGATATATTTGGAATAAACGAGTCTTATCTTTAAAAAAAGGATGCCCTAGTAGAACAACTAATAAAAACTCTTCTTTTTTTTTTCTCTTAGATTAATTAAAGAGATATGGTTCGAATTAATTAAAAAGAAAAAGGAAGAGACAGTCATGAACTTGAACATCATGTTCTTTTTCCAAAGGAACTCGAATGACATTTAATTGCTAAACAGCGCAATTGTGGCAACCATGCATTAAATAAACTTTTTTTTTGTTTGAATACACTAATACAAAAAACAAATAAATATATTTTTTTTCTGTTGAAATTTTCAACATGATAAGAATTTCATTGATGTATATCTATAATTGTAAATTATCATTTGAACATTAACAATCTATAATCAGCAATCCGAAAAAATATTAATACGGACTATATAACGACCTGCACCTCTTGATAAATAATAGTAATTCATTATGTAAGAAGGCTCTATTTACTTTTTTTTTATCCATACGTATAGCTTGTGTTCTAGTCGGTATTGCATGTTTGCAAAGAATATAGATCATTATTTAGTACAAACTTATGTTCAAATGATATTTACTATAATAACGATTGCAATAGATCAAATGATCTTTTCAATAGTTTCTTATTGCTTTAATTTGAACTTTTTTCTAAAAGATGTGGCATGAAATTCCTAATTAAAATATACATAAACATGGTTGAAAAGTTACAGGCAAAGAACTTTATTCAATAATTTAGTGTAATTGTATATTGATAACATACAAGGTTCAAATCAATCAGATTTTCTTTAATCTGACTTAGAGCAAAAAAAGAGTATTTTGGAAAAATTCAACTAAACTGTCATATTCTAAATCCTCATCTTCTCAACTAAGACGTGTTCTCCGAATAAGTAACTTGTGCCTTGAAAAAATAATTTCATCTTCAAACAAAGAAAACTTGCATAAAAAGACGTATTACTCTCGTAAATCTGAAAAAAAAAAGAATTGCTTATTATGCATGAAACAGTTGTTTTTTTAAAGCTCTTAAGTATGCCTATGACGCTAAGCGTTTCAAGCTTCACACATTGAGCCGTAAAGCATTTTGATGTTGCAATCTCACGATACTAAAGCTTTTTAAAAACTCAATTTTATGTTTGAAAATTTTTATTAATACATAGCTACAGTTCTTGTCGAATAAAATTTTTGTATTTGTCTTTTTAATCGATGCTTTTCTGTGTTTTTTTTTGTTTTGAGAGAATTTTATAGTGTATCTTTTGTTAAAAACTTAACCGGAAATGATAAAAACTGTCAGAAATATTTAAAAGATTCTAGGACGTTCACTTATTTTGACGTACCTGTGATTTCACTTTTTCACTGAAATGACATCAACTCAAAATATTTTAAAATCTTTTACTGTCATATTATTGTCAATGCATGATTAGAATTGAGGAAGTATCTTAATAAGACTGTGGAATACAAATTATGAACATACTGTGAAAAAGATCGTTCGTCCGGAGATTTTCTAATAACATATACTCTTTAACTCATAGAAAAATAAAACGAAGATACCCCACTTTTTGGCTACTATTGTCGATGTACGATGATACCAAGGCAATTTTGATAAGTTTGATATTTTTCCTTCATTTGACAAGCTTCAGAATTGTTCATACATCTTCGTAATAGTCATCAAATTGGCGTCTTGAATATAAGGTCGATCTAGCTGAGAACATCACTTTCCACATATCCTCCATCGTCAGATCATATATCACAAAAATCGATTGAAACAACAAATGTATGTTACAATTTAGAGAACATGCCGAATACATTAACTATGATGTTCATGGCATATATCATATTCATTCAGTCATGGCTGCCTCTTGAAATCTTAAATTTTTTATGTACAAAGTAAAGCACTGCTAATCTTCTCTTTTTCTAAGTAAAATAATAAATGATTAAGTCTAATATTATAGACATGTTTAAAATAAATAATATTGAAATTTTCATTTTGAATGAAATCAAAGTAAACTTCTTGTGAATAAATTTTAACTAGTTTTGAAATATATTTCGAATGATTCAAGTTCATATTAATACTATCAATAAGAAAATTTACATATGAATAAAGTTCATCAAAATTAATTCTGAATTCGAATTAATATTCTCAGTTTAAATCATTAGAGAAAAAAAAGACATAATGATTAATATATTCTGTTGATGAATTAATGAATAGTTTTATAAGAATAAAGTATTTTTGAAAAAAAAAAACCTAATACTAAAACTTTCATATAATGGTATGATCAACTATATCATGATTTAGCTATTTTATATTGAATATACATTGTCAAAATATCCAAAAACTAGGCTAACATTGACTTATTTCATATAAAAAATAATTTTTACTACTCTTAATTAATGACAGAAACATCTATTCTAAAAATAGATCTAAATAAACTTATCTCTCACATACATTACATACGGTTTTTTTGACATAAAAAAATATATTAAATATAGTATCATTAAATTGCAATTATTATTAAAATTTACAAGAAAATAATTAGATAAACAATTAAAAATAATTCGAAGAAATTATTCATCATATCATATAACACCATTGATTATAGATATGATAAGAAAACAACAATTGAGATCAATGAATAAGAAATGAAAAAAACTGTTTGTATTTTGATATCATTTATATGTTGTTATGTCTTTAATAAATACTTATTTGAATCTACAATTAATAAACTTAATTCTAAAGTTCAATGCAACTATATTGAATCGTCTTATAGAACTTGATTGACTTTTAGACAAACAACAGTGTTCATTGAATATATAATCATGAGCACCTGTTCAAGCTATAACCTTGCACGTCAACATTATTCAATTATATTTCTTTCGATTTTCTTCATAAATCATTTGTATGATAATTAATTTCAACAGAACAACTATATTTTAAATATAAAACTAAGAAAAATAAATCATTGTACCAAAAATATGAAAGGATCTTGTTGTTGTTGTTGTCTTTTTGTCAATTACATATCATAAACATGCAAACATCTATATTTATTTGAATCATATTTTTCTTTTGTTCGACAAGTAGGTTAATAATAAAAAAAAAAGAAATATGTTCGAATACGATATTTATTATTATTAACTTGAGAAAATGATGAATTTAGATCTGTTTTTATTAAATGTTTGTTTAAACGAAAATTATATTCAAATTAAAAAATATATTTTTTATTAAAGTCAATTTAAATTAGAATTAATTTTACTTGAAAATATACTAAACCCCTCCCCATATTAGAAGCCCCCGGGGGGCTTCTAATATGTCTATCATATGAAGCTTCTGGAGGGGGCTTCTATTAAGTCTCAAAAAAATTTCGTAAACTGCCAGGAAAAAGGGTTCGCAAGGGTTTTTAGCGACTTTCAAGGTTTTTATGAGTTTTCCAGAAGATTTTTGACATTATTTTCAGATGTTAGCTAAGCTAGATAAGAGTCAGCCAACTTTTTACCTGAAAATCGAAAAATTTTAGCAGTTTTAGCATGAAAATGCGAAAAAAAAATCTTGAAAATTTTAAAATTTTTTCGAAAAATTAGGGGGGCTTCTAATACGTCAAACACGTTGTTCATCTCAGAGGGGGCTTCTAATAAGGGGGGGCTTCTAATATGGGAGGGGCTTCTATTATGGGGAGGGGTTTACAAACAATATTGAGAAAAAAAAAATCTTTTTTTTAATGTTAATACTTAAAGTAATTAAGTCTATAATTTATTTATTTAATATATTAAAATTAATTACATGATGATTTTTGATAGATTCCTGGTGATCTTTTTCAATTGATTGAAAGCATAATCTGGATAGCATATATCAGTAATGAAAAAAAAAACAAAAAAGGCAAAGAAGAATCTTTATGTTTTTCACATGTTCGAATTTGAATAACTATATGAACTCATTACTATCGACTAAGCAAAGAGAAACGTAAGACTATATTACGGAGGAAAAAAACAAGTAATTGTCAACATCCGTTTCTTGTCTATATAGAATTGCTTTGTAGCAGGCACAATTTTTTTTTATTAGAACTGAAAAAAACAGAAATGAATAAAAGGACGAAGTGAAACAAGACGAGGAAAGAAAAGAAACGCAAATGTCAGTTCTCTCTCACTTTCTCTCTCTCTCTCTCTCCATCTATTTTTTCTCGGATGTTCTATTTCAGAAAAAAAAAAACTCTATTACGACTAATTATATTTTTGCAATACTCACCCAAACTAACAAGAAAAAGAATCGATCTGGATGTGTCTCATTTATATCGATGCAACAGACGCAAACGCAAAATTTTCATGATCCTCGATTGAGTACGAGTTCTCATTCTTCATTATCAGCAGCAACAAATGCTCTTCTTAATGGACTTCTACCATCTCATCGTTTTTCACAAATATCAGGAAATGCACCAGTACTTGGTACAAATCTTACTCCAAATCAATTACAAGCATTACAAAAACGTAATCGTCAATTAAAACGATCTGAAAGAATTAAACAAGCTAGTTTAACTTTGGGTTTAGCTATTATTCTTGCTTTTCTTCTTATTATTACGATTGAATTAGCAACAAAACTTGTTAAAATTCAACTCGAAGATGTTTCATCGAAA